GCGGCCCTGGCGGGGCTGAGGGGACTGGGCACCACCATCTTGTGGCTATGGGTGCCGCCATCTTTGAGGGTGTGACAGTCAATTAGCATATTCCCTCCTTATTGGCTATGGGGCCGCCATCTTTGAGGGTGTGACAATTAGCATATTCCCTCCTTATTGGCTGTGGGTGCCGCCATCTTTGAGGGCATGGCAATTAGCATATTCCCTCCTTATCGCCTGTGGGCACTGCCATCTTTTGCAAAGGTGTGAGGGTCAATTAGCATATTCCCTCTTTATTAGATAGGATAGTAGCGCTGGCTGGTGTGGCTCAGTTGGTTGGAGCATCCTCCCAAGCACCAAAGGGTCATGGTTTCTATTTGGGTCAGGGCACAAACCCAGGTTACCATTTGATCCCCATGCGGGAGGCAACCAATCAATGTTTCTCATATCACTATTTCTCTTTCCCTCTCCTTTCCCATCTCTCTCTAAAATATCAAATTAAAAAATAAAATGGAATAAAGAACCTATTGCTTTGGGATTCTCTTAAGATTGTGAGATAATTCATGTGAAACATTTAAGATGTTGCCTGCCCATTCCAAGAACTATTCTATTACTTTACTTCTGAGAAGTGACTTCTCTAAAGCAGAAATCAAGTCTGAAGAATTCAATAGGTTTTTTTAAAAATGCCAATTTTTCCCATTAACTATTCAGGAATATATATACATATATAAGTATTCATGAAGATGTGGAGCAACAGGAACGCTCACAAACTGGTTATGTGTAAATTGGGAGACCACTTTGGGAAAGAAAAGTATCCAGTAAAGTGGAAACTTAAAATACTGTATGACAAGTCAACTCCGTGATATATATGCTAAAGAATACCCATGTACACCAGCAAAGTATCCTTTTGTTCATAATAGCCAAAAACAGGAAATAACCCAAATGTCCATCAATAATAGGATGGGTAAATTATAGTATATTCATTCAGAGGAATACCAGCTACCTAGCATATGGATGATTCTCCAGCATAATGTTGAGAGAAAAAAAGCAAAACACAAAATATGAAATATAATTACACAAAGTTCAAACACAAGCAAAATTAAAGTATATCACTTAGGGATGCATACACAGAGGTAAATCTATAAAGAGAAAGCAAGGAAATGATGTTCAAGAAGTCAAATTGGTAATTATAAAAATGAGAAGGGGAGGACTTTATTGGACACATAAATAGGACACATGGAGGAGAGGGCTTCCGAGTTACTTTTCTGTATATAATACTTCACAAGAAAAGATGAACTTAGTATATAAACATAACTTTATTAAGCTTTATTATAAAACACCAACAGTAAAAACTGTTAATATCCATGGTAACTACACATACCTAAATTTATGCACATTTTCAAAATCTAACTTGGCATTTACCATCTTATATTATGCTCTGATCTGCTGGAAAAAAAAGTGAGGAGACATGAAGGCTTTAATAGTTATTTCCAGATGAAAGGCAACCTCCAAAATAGGATTCACCAGCATTAATATGTGAAAGAAAAAAATGATTCTGATTGCAAGTAATTTATTAAATTCTGGCAAAATAAAAACTGGTTGAATCTTAAGAGAAAAAAAATACACTATACAGATCATGTATAGAATTGTATACCTGAAACCTGTAATTTTATTCACCAATGTCACCCCAATAAATTCAATTTAAAAAATTAAAAAAAAATTTGTCTAAAGAAAAAATGCTTAACTCCTTACCATACCTTATTTTACTCTATTATACCAGTAAGTCCTCATTCAGAGTTACAATTCCCCAGCCCTCACTGCACCTTCAGGTCAGGTTTGGTCTGGTCCCACTTGCTATTCCACCCCTACCTTCCACATTGGCAAAGACACATGAAGAAATCCTGGATATCTTTACATCTGTCACCATATACTAGTTGGAAACCATTCTGGTCTGAGAGACAAAATGGACCTGACAGGAAACACTATTACCTCAGATTAATTTTTCTGTATCTAAGTTTCTCATCAACAAAATCATTCCTCTATGCTTCTCAGACAAGTTAGTAAGAAAACAGCAAATTTAAACACAGGTACCAATTATAAACCTCTAAAATAACTGATGGATGCTCCTCAAATATTTGCTATTTCCTCTCCTTTAAAACAGTGCACTTACTCTCTTTGGTCAAATATAAGAGTGATACGTGTAACACGATATGAAAACAGGCACTACAAAAACCCCCTGTCTAATCCTGCCTCTTGCCCAAATCAACCCAGCCTAACTAAGGCAGCTTCCCAACAGCCTACTCAGGGCTGAATCACTGCTGCAGAGCAGGCACTAAGAACAGATGGAAGAGCTGACTTCCCTTCAATGTAGATGAAGAGGACAGACTTGCTCAGTCACATGCAAATCAGTGAACAAACCAGGAGTAGAACCCAAAACAACTGGCCAATTTTTAATTGTAAAGTCAATAGTAATTTGTATTAAATACAATGTTCGTAACACATTTACATGGCTTTTTCTAGGTTTTAAATGATTTTCAGTTTAGCATATAAAGAAATTTTCAATTTGTCATTGTAAAGATTAGGTCAAATGTAATATACCAGTATTTTTATATTACATTTCCATTTGGAAGACTCTATGTTAAATTCTCCCCACAACAGGTGGGGGCCATAGAGAGGAGGCTGGACAGATTGCTTAGAAACAGCAGCCACAAATTAAAGAGTACTTGGGGTATGCCATGCATTAAGATAAATTCTTGACATTTCACTTGATTCTCACAAGCTCATAGAGTAAACTGCGCTAAATTACCCAAACAGAAATTTACGATTAGAAAAGGACATTATAAACAAGGTCACATGCCTAGAAGTGTCACATCTGAAAAAAGAATCCAGACATCAGACACATGAAAGAACCAACATCATACATCAAATTGACTTGTGTATTTATTGCACAAATTTCCCCTAGAACTGGGAGGTTATTATAATACAGGTGTACATTTGAGAAATGTATACAGAACAAGAAACAGTATGTACATTTACCCCACCATCTAAATAACTTAAAGAAAGCAGAAGGATCACATAAGACATCTACCAGAAATAGAAATTATGTAAAATCCTTTTTTTTAAGTGATCATCCCCAGTGTATGCCAATTGCAAAAAAATTAAATCGGTGCTGGTATGTTTATTGCACTTAACAATTTCAAGCCCAAAATTAAGACATATTAATAAAAGCCAGTAATATTTAAAATCAAACCAATTAGTTTATATGAAAGGAAAAATTATTTTAAATCTATAATGTAAAAGATCCCTTTTTCATTTTCTATTGCAACAAACAGGTTTTTAAAAATATGTAACACATATCTGTCTGTACCATAATAAGTTGAAAAATATTTCGAACAATCCAAAACTCTTTTCACATTCATCATAATGACCACACTTTAAAAGCAGCAGCAGCTTACTCCATGGTCTTCGTGTAAGGAAAAAATGACTATGATGAAGGTAATAGAAATTACAGAAGGGCTGGGAATTATAAAGCTCAGGAATCCTATAAGGATTAATAATAAGAAACTATAGGCCTTTTCCTTCCAAGCAAAGCTATGTTTTAAGAGTAACAGTAGCATGAGACATCCACTTATTGAAGACTAAATTTTCTAAATGATAATTTATTAGATTTCAAATAGATAGGACTGTGAATAGCTTGATGATTAATTAAAAAAACATGCAAAACAGATATTATCTATCTGTTATATATCATTCTAAACTACAAAAAATAATGTACAATGACCCACATATGAACTTTTCTGTATTCTAAATTCTGCCAAAGAGATTGATTCATAAAATTCCAAACAATAAAATCGTGAAGAATTTCATTAATGCACGGAGTAAGAATATTAAGCAAATGAAAATATATCCATAAACATTCTTTGGCAGCAAGTCATCCATGGGAGACTCCAGCACTAACTGGGGCCAGCTGATAGGACACAGAGGCCAAACTGATTGCAGGCACAACAATTTCAGATTTACATTCCATTAAAACAATAATTTCTTCTTAAATCTAGGTTGGAGAGTTCTTGCATACAGAGAGAGCAAGGCAAAATGTGACCCACCACTATACATTAAAGGTCAAAGCTTAAACCACAAAAATCTTTCTTAATTACTGAAAATTGAAACAGCAAGAATGAATGTATTATATAGGAAATGTATGTATTAATAGGATAAGCAATTAGTTTCTTTTTTAAAGCTAATCAATTATAATAAAAATAGTCCATGAAAGCAGAAATCAACTTCACTTCTAGAATTAAAGTATCTTAGAACAGGTAATTAAAGAATAAACGATAATGTAGTATTCAAGTAAACTGAGGTAGTAGAGCATACTGAAAACTTTACTTACCCATATTTTTATTTACATTATTTACAAGAGTTTGGTTCCATGTTAGCCTTTCTCAGAAGCAACACTCTACACTATATACAGAATAACAGTAACTGAAAAGTGAAAATCCCTGGGGAAAAAAAATTGCTTTTGGAAGAAGGGAAATTCAAGAAAAGAGAATAATTTTAAGGATTAATGAGTTCTATTTAGTGTAAATAGAATATTATGAAGCAGTGAAACAAAGAAAATATTTCCTATGGGTTCAAGGATGGCTAATGCCAAAAGCAAGAGCCTCGGCTACCTGAGTACTTTTGAAGAAAATATTATTTTTGCCAATACTTTGGTGCAATTTTTAATCCTAATTTTAATTTATTAAATTAGGTACAAATATGTTAATATTAACATTTATAAGAATTAGTTTATAGTTACAAACAAAACAAATAATATAAAGTACTATTATTTGGGGAATTTACATTCCTCAGCCTTAAAAAAGTGATTGGTTTTACTTATATTTTAGGGTGTGTGAAACAGGAAAACCACCACAAAGGAACATTTCAACATTATATACAATGAATACT